TATCTCAAATTATAAACTATTAGCAATTATCTGAGTAAAATGTTTAATTCGTGCATTTTGCGGAGCAACACAGTAATTTGCAAAGCAGTTTAATTTTAATATTTCAAACTTAAAGATAACCTCGATAATAACAATGGCTTTTCTTTATTAAGAAGACTGAACGTGGTTCTTCTATAAATGGAATTAATAATGATTACTATGATATTCTTTGAAAGACTGGCGTTCCATCTCAATTAATTAATCAGCCTAAAACCTTTAGCATGTTAATTTTCGAAAAAGACTCAAAACAACACGTTTATTGGAGCTCTGCTGCGTAGAATAAATTTAGTTTCATAAATATGTTCTAATTTTTATGTTTGATAATATTTTTACTCTTACTTAATATTTGATTTAAAGTAGGAGTAACATCTGCTCATTATCAATTATGTATTGGTATTATATTTAATAATATTCGCAAGATATAATAATCGCAAAAAAGTTCAAAAATAAAATATTTTATATATCTTTAAATTTCAAAGATTTCTGATCATTTTTGCATACCTTAGAAAAAATGGATGTATGTGTTATGCGGACACAAATTTTAGTCGTTCATATTGAACACAGATCTACCGATTTGACTAATTAAAAAACATTCGATTTGAATTATTGGGGTACGTGCTGATTAGTTCTTGTCAAAGCCAGGTCCAGCGGTTTCGAAGATATGGAGCAAATAGTGCCAGCAATGGTAATTCAGTTTCTGAGAGAACGGAGCGTCCGATTTCAATAATTCAACAACAACAAAAATATATTTGTTTTTTTGCCTTAAGACACGATGCCACGCGCCTGTAGATTCTTTATTATATTTGCTAAAGGTCCACTAAGGGCAGTTGTAAATTAAATGTTGAAATGAAAAAAACAAGGCCGAGTTCAACAAATATTCCATATTGTAGCGTTATGATTATTCATATTAGTCAACGCGCTTGTATCGATGGAAACTGAGAAGTTATTGTTTAGTATATCGAATAAATATTAAATTTCATCATTATTTCAGCTCATTTATTATTGTTAATATCCCGAGCATTTGTATAAATAATCAATTTGTGTGTCACGAAAGACTAAACATACTGCTCATTTATTATATTGATACTGTCGACATTATAAACAGAACGTATGTTAATATTTATGTTCAGATTTATTTACAAGTATTTGCATGAACACCTTGTTAACGCGCCCGTGAATGCTCTCGCAATAATCCATCTCGTATTTTAGTCAGATGAATTATTACGATAGTTTTGTCTACGAGATTATTCGGGATTAAATAAAAGTCATGCTTAACGAACTTGCAGGGCTTGATCAGCTTGATTGATTACAATATTTATTAAAAATGAGTTCGTTCGCCATTATGCCTTAGGCTTGGGTCAAATATACACAAATAACGTACAATTAATTCAAATATAAAAATAATACAAAAAGCAGCATCTAAAATATTAAGATGCATTGCAAACGCACTATGGTATATTTCGAACGACACTCTACATAAAGACTTGAAAATAAGAACTATTAATAAAGTATTAAAAAAAAATAGTAAAAAATAACACAAAAAATTACCAGGTGACCTAGACAAATATTTAAACGAATTGAGTGAGGAATCTCCTACTCGAAGATTAAAAAAAATAGTTATACGATCTAAAATAAAATGTTAAAAAAGAAGATATCTCATTAGAGATAAACTCTTTAAAGGCATATACAGATCAGCAAATTTTCCTAAAAAATAATGTATATTTTGATTGACAATGAAATGAAAAAAAGAAAAAAAAAAGTACAATATTAGTGAAAATTTAATTTATTAAAAGGAACAAATGAAATACAAGCTTTTTCACATAGCAATCAGGGCTATATATGCAGTGGTATTAGAATGCAACCCAGTGGTTGGTCAAGATATTCATTACATTTTTATCTCATACCATATATTGCTGAAGTGCACCCGAAAGGCTATTCACCAATAATATTTTAAATATATAATCTCAAGTGATTATTGGATATCACTACAGCTCATTATCAAGCTGGTCGAGGTAGGTATCGAAACCGAAACTAGTGGTTTCTAGACCAAGTTCTTAGTACAGATATATAGAATTCAAAATTAAAAAGAATGTATGTAGCTAAATGCTCTAGCGAGATCCATTTAACTATTTGTAAGTGGCATTTTGCCTTAGAAAAAGTTGCATGAACTTCCCAATATGTGCAATAATTAACTTAATTAACCAAAATTGAGATTTAGCTATTTGGATAAAATATTATACTGTATATTAAGTTTTCGCATTCACTAAAAACTAATCAATCAATCAATCAATCAATGAAATTCAAATTGTGACTCATCACATCACAGAAGCGACTTTTTGACAAAATTTGAACTTATTTTTTTCAAACTTTGGTAATTTTTTTAAAATTGCACTTCGTCATAGGGCCGTAATACTTTACTTTATTAAAGTATTTTATTAATTACCGTAATACTTCATTAAGGTTTACTTTATTAAACATACTTAATATGACTGTGATCTCTATTGTTATAAAATTTCATGTGAATCGACCAAATTTTTTTTTATCACTTAATTACGAAGAAAAGACACTGCCGATCTTTACTAAAAACTTATCAGCATATAACATTTTTTGAACTTTCAAAATCGATTTAGGATTGCGGACTGAGAAAGGTGGATGAAAATTTTCACTGATCTGCTAATTACAAAAGAAACGGCTTGGTTGATCATTGTGAACAACAAATCAATACCAGTTCTTGTTCAGATGCATCAACGGCTTTTAAATTTTCTTAAATCGGTGCAGCCGTTTACAACGAAAGATAAATATAATACACTCACACACATACAATATATAATTTGGAAAAATTGGATGGAAAGAGCGAATATGTTAGTAATAGAGTGATTCTGCCCTATTTTTTCGAGATATTTTTGAGGTATAACACTCAACTGAATTCTGTCTTATTTCTTTGAGATATTATACAAGTAGAGACATAGACGCTGATATTAATACTAAATCTTAAGATATAATAATCCTTTTACCGATAATTTTTCGAAGGTGTTACGAATGTGCGTTGTTCGTACATACCTGTCATGATCAGTGTTGCGTGTCCTTCGAATTAACGAGATTTTCGCTATCATTCTTCTAATCGGAACATTTTGAACGCCATGTCTCGGCCGCCACTTTATACTTTGGCATCTCCATTTGGTGCAAAGGCTAAAAAATAAAAGTATCCTTTTTGTGAGATATGGTCAGAAATTCTCATTAAATGCAACGTGCTAACGCTTGTTTTCGCACGATGGATATCGCACCAAAACTACTAATGGATAAATGAGGGCGATGGTGTAAACATACAGTTGAACTGAAATAAATGACTAAAACGAAATTTATATTGGCCGATTCTGCCGTACAATAGACCAATGTTATGGCAAGGCTATGTTACTCTCCACTTTGCATACATTATGCTACTGAATCATATTGAACACTATCAAAATGTTATGTATGTGCTGTGCACTTGTATGTTATGAAGCTGGATCAGAAAGACCATGTTTCTGTTTTTCTGTCTGATAATATGAGAAAAACGCCTGACTGTACAGCAACCGCATAGCTTTTGATAATATTTAGAACGAATTAGTATGGAAAGTTCTACATAACATAGCCTTACCATAACATTTGTCTGATGTACGGCAGAATTGGTACTTTAAATTTTATGACTGATCATGCTATTGTTGCAACCGCTCTTAAACATAAACCTTTCATGAAATTTTGTCTGTGTAGCCTTGAAGTTTGCAAAATAAAATGCGTATTTGAATTGTGATGGGTAGAGCTGTTTCTATTCAACCTTGTCCTATATTTTTAGATGCGTGGTAGATGTACCTACTATGTATAACTAAATTTATGTGTTTTTAGAATCAACTACTATATATATATATATATATATATATATATATATATTCTATATATTCTATATTTTTTAGATGCACTTGTGATATGAGTTGAGTGTCTAGGAACCACAGTTTTCGGGTTTGATACCTACTTTGACCAGCTTAATATCATGATGTAGTAATTCCAGACTCATTTGAGATTATGGAACTGGAATATGATAAGTGAATAGCATTTCGAATGCAATTCTGCCATAAATATCACATTAGTATTAGATAATAATCTAATAATGATCAGAGAGAAAATTGTAGGGTTTACCGGGTTTTATTCTAAAAGCAATAAGTTTCATAAAGGATTCATATCACAACATTGAGAAAGGAAAACATTGTAGTTTTGATCGCAGCTCAAGTTGAAGTAAAAGGAAAATTTGGATGCAATTGTAAAGTTTACTCTCTATTTACTATGATCTGGTACGAAATAATTAACCTGATATCATAAAAAAAATCTGCTTGTATGACATTACAAATTTAATTTTAGGAAGCAAAATAATGATTAAATACGTAAAAGGCTGAACTATGAAGTTCAGAACATTGCGGACTATGGAAAATAATGTAAGGGTTTTTATTTAGATTAGATTTATCTGACTGATGTGATATTTATGACAGAATTATATCCAAAATCATTTATCAGCCTATCATTTATAATCTTTCTGATCAATTATCTCAAATGAGTCGTATTACTACAGCTTGATATCAAGCTGGCCAAAGTAGGTATCAAACCCGGGACTGTAGTTCCTAGACCGCGTTCTTAAGATGGTGCATACTTATATCCCTTTCGTATTAATTTCTTCTATGAAATTGGAATTTAAGTGATCAAAATAGATTTGCATTAAAAATGCTGCATTGAAGAAATATGAATTTCCTATACCTACACCTATGTCCCCTTCGTATTAATATTTTCCATGAAATTAGGATTTTAGGGATTAAAAATAAATTTGCATTAAAAATGTCACATTAATCGAAGAAATTGGAGTTTTGCCTACAATTCTATCATGTACCTGATCTATTATTTATTACGTATTTCAAAACTATCTTTTTTATTTCCAGTTGACGCCTATCGGAACGACCATTTTTCAAGGAATCTTAGCCAAAGATGCTGACGCCGGAGTTAATGGTCTGGTGGAATATTTCATCGAAATGGGCGATGGAAGCGGTTTGGGTCCTGATTCTGGTGTTGGAAATACTAGAATTACATCAGCTGATGGCTATGGCTACTTTTCTATTAATTTGCCTCATCAGGGACAAGTAACCGTTAACAGGACCCTGGACTATGAGCGGACTCAACGATACCTTCTTACTTTGGTCGCATCGGTATGTGAAAATAATCGATCTAAATTCCTATATTTTTGTATCATAATAGAGTAATACTGAGAAAAAAATCGAAGTTTATGCATAGATGCGTGCAAATTGTGAGTTTATATATACATATATAAATTTAATTATTTATTTATTGTTGCTTCAAGTTCATGATTCTGCTACACACCTTTCATAAATATTGATAACGGTTTCCTTGGCAATATCAAGGAATTAAGGTGTGTGCACCATCTCACCAGAAAAGCTATAACTATTTTGTGCAAAGTCGATAAATCTGATGTGACACTGATCCATCCATCTATTAATCCAAAAATTATTGGATCTATCTTTATCAGTATTTCAATCGAATTCAACATGAATTTTACATAAATCGTTATAAATCATGTAGCGAATTTTAAATGATTATTATCCTATGGTTGTTCAGCAATAAAAGTGTCAATTAAGTTATCACACAAGGCTTTGAAGGATGATCTGATTATTTTACTAATTCAAAACAATGGTCAAGAAATTTACGTGCGTTGTTCTAACTTTCTCCCTTAGATTTGCCAATTAGAACAAATGGTGCGACAAGTTACTATAAAATGGAAACGTCTTGTTATTTTTTTTTTTGGTTATTTGTAATACAGTTAAAATCTAAAAGATAACTTATGTAGATATACTATTTCATCAAAAATGTTAAAAGGTTTAGATAGCAGGTAGTAGATGCTCATTAATAAATAAAAAATAAGATATTGTAAAATCAAGTCAATTTTAAATCGTCTCTATTATAGTTGACAACAGTTCAATAGTTTAGTAATGTATCATGTATACTATATATATGTATACTATATACATCACCATAAACTAAATGAAAACTAGTTGGTATTGGTATTTTGCCTTGAGGCAAGTTACATGAACTTCCCAATATGTGTAAATAATCGACTTAATCAATAAAAAATAAGTTAATTTATGAGTGATTAAAAGTATTTCCGAGTGAATTTAATCACACGTAATTGAAAACGAACAAACACGTTAACTTGGCATATTTTCTAAAAGCAAATTTTCAAAACTCAATAATATTTATAATTGAACCAGTTTCCGTAGGACTTTAATGGTTTAGTATGTTCATTAAGACCAAGTATTCTATCGTTAAACCAAGTAAATCGTCCAATTTTAATTTTAACAAATGTCAAAAAAACTACTCATTTTCTCAAACTTTGATGAATTTTTAAAATGGAACTACTTGTCGTAAGGCCGGAATATTTTAGTAAGTTCTATAAGACCATGATATATACGCCAAAAAAAAATCCAATAAATTCCATAAAAATTTGGTTTAATTTTTTTTCAACAGTTAATTACAAGAAAACGGCTCGGTAGATTTTCACCTAAAACTAATCAATGTCATTTCCAACTAACACCTTACGAACGGTTTTTGACTTTTTAAAATAGATTCGGTAGTATGAGCTTGAATGTGGACGAAAAGTTTAACATTATTTCCCAAATTACAAAGAAACGGCTCGGCAGATTGTCGCACAAAACTGACAAACGATAGTCCTCTTTGAGATACATCGATTGGCTTTTAAATTTTTGAAATCGGTTCAGACGTTTTGGAGCAAACGTCTATGAAAGTTCTAATTTTGACAAAAGCCAAAAAAAACTATACTGATTTTTGCAAACTTTGACGACTTTTTAAAGATAAACGACTTGTCGTAGGACCGTAATATTTTAGTGTGATATATAAGACTATGGTATCTATCGTAAAAAAAAATTATAAACGTCTTAGAAAAAAAATTTTAACACTTTATTACAAGAAAACGACCCGGCCGATCTTTAACAAAAACTAATTAGGTCGATCCCAACCAGTATCTTTCGAACAAACGAATAGTCCTCATTGAGATACATCGAATGGTTTTAAATTTTTGAAATCGGTCCAGCCGTTTTTGAGAAAACGGTAAAAAAATCTGTTTACACACACACAGGCACCATTAACTATTATGGTAGCAAAAAAGTGATTGATTCATAAAAATGTATATGGAATTAAAATTTTACCAGCAACAACTTATTATTGAATCTTTTAAACTTACTATTAGCCGATTATTTACGTATTAATATTTTATCTTGCAAAAAAGGTCTGTTAAACAAATTATCACAATTGAAGCATTAGCACTCATTAACATCTTCCCATGCATAAATATCGCTTTTATCATTATTGAGAAAGTATGTGATAAAAACAAATAACTACGAGGCAAAACAATATATAACATGATATAGATATTTTGATTTCAACATTAACTATAGCAGAGAAACTATATTATTCATGATCGTGGGCAAAATTCTCACGAGTACTTATTTCCATTCTGATAATTCTCATATAGAATAATCCATTATTTTTCTGATCTACATAATATAGACAGTTGAGTGGAGTTGTTTGATTAATTACGAGATATTCAATATGTTCATGTTATATTAGATTGTGTTTTACTAGTCTTATTGCTTTCTACGTTATATAACATGTTACTATTTCAATGAATTTACTGCACAAATAATTATTAGTTTGATTATTACGTTGCATATAATCAAATTCTATTAGCAACGAGATAATAGTATATTAAAATGAAAATTGATTTCGAACTTATCATAGTAAAAGTGAATAAATCATGTGGACATGTAGAGAAATTCCAGGATCATATAGTTTACTTGTATTGTCATATATTGTTTATTAGAAAGTTAAAATGAACACGATTATACTAGTGGTGCATGGCATCGTGCCTTATGGCAAATTGCTGGAACTTCCTGATCCAATAACTATATTTTTTTAAAAAAAAACTTTGCAAAACTTGGAAAAAAGATTTTTGAAAAATTTTGAAATTTTTGACAAAAATTGACTTTTTTGTATTTTGATTTTTTTTATTATTTTTACAATTTTGAACATTTTTTTAAGCAATCGCGCCGCATAGCTCATTTGGAGTCAAAATATCAAAGCGCGTAGACGTCTAACGTGTAAACATTAGTACGGAACCCATATAAATTTACACAAAATTTGTACTTACTATTATAATCATTATAAAATATCTGATACAGGAGGTTAAAATATGTTAAAGACTTACATGCAAAGATATTTAATATTGGGGTATATTATTGAAGTAAAACTTCCTATAGACGTTAGATATGTCTTCGAAAATATTGCATTTTTCTGCTAATTCCAAAGAAATGGCTTGACCAATCGTCGTGCAAAACTAATAAACGCGCCCTAATCGAGTTAGGTCAAACGACTTTTAAATTTTAGAAATTGGTGCAGCCATTTTTTCAGAAAACGTCGACCAAAGGTCAAAAATTGGCCAAATATATACACGCGTATAAACACACATACTTTTTCCATATTTGGTCTCAAACGATTCAGAATAACCTAAAACACCAAGAAAACAAAATTAGTAAATCCGATTTTTTCTGAGAATACTAAATTCTTCGGGAAGTCTTGGGATTTTTGTAATGAATATTTAAATATTTTTTCTGAACTTTTAAATAGCTAAAATACCCGTTACGCAAAATATATAATTCTCAAGTCTGATAAAAAGCCCAGAATCAAAAAAGGAAAAAAAAGTATAGAAAAAATTACAATGATATAAAGCTTAAACGTCGGAAGGTTGAGAAAGAATAGTTGAAATAATCTTCGAATAATTTTGGAATCTTGCAAAAAAAGTTGTCTAAAAATAAAAGATCAACGACGATTACCGTTTTGAATTATCAGTGTATCCATAATAAAAGCAAAAGAAACAATATTTGAATTCTTAAATTTTCACAATAATTTGAGATGGCAAAGTGAGTATAAAGTCATAACTTGTTTAATAAGCATTTTTGCTCCAATGCTTCAATTGTTACTGCTTAACTACATTCCTTCTATTTTATGAGATATTAGAAGATAAATGTTATATGAACGAAAAACGTAAAAAATCAGCACATGTTATTGGTTTAATCACACTTTGTATTAAAATTAAACTTAAAACAAGTTCTGATTCTAATAAACGAGACTTATATAAAAGTCAGATCGATCAAATGAATTTACCTATATGAAGAACATTTTTTTCATTCTTTTATTTTTGCTCTTAAAGATTCTAGATCACACTTTTAAAGACATATCCATTAGTAGGGTTGAATTTGAAGGTCCGCAGGTAAAAAGGTCCACCATCATCATCTCAAAAAAGCAAAGTATAGAATTTTTAAGAATACTATTTTAAAGCAGAAGGGAAAAGTAATAAGCCATCACCTTGATTTTTATACTGTCGCTATCAGGAGATAAACGGACATGTATCAATTTTTATATTCAAAGTTTTTTAGTTGGTAGTTTTTTGGTTTTGAGCTCTTGTATTTAGTCTATGCAACCTGAATATTTTTGGTATACGTTATTTGATTGTTTTATAAGATGTATTGTTACTTGTAAGTTAGATGCAACTGTTTTTTTTATACAACTTCTATAAATTTACATGTGGCTGGGGTAAAAAGAACCAAAAGACAGTGGTAAAGATGTCAACAATAAGAAATAGTAAATGTTAAGAAAATTAAGTTAAGAAAAATGCAATTTTACAAGAGATAAATTAAATTCATAGTTGTTCAACCTTTCTTTTAAATTAGAATTTTTTTAAATACTATTTCAGGTTCAAGGTTATATACAATGTAATTTTTGTAAAAAAAAAAGTGTCGCCATACAGTTTGTATTTCATATTGGTTAATAATGTAGTTGTTATTTTGCAAAATTCTTTCAAAATTAATAAAAAAGAAGTTAGATCTGTTTGCCACCTGGCTGCAGCTTTTTTTACCTCGCTCATAGGGCAAAACGGGACAGATGACAAATTTCAGAAAAATATAAAAAAAAACGTATTAGTCAAATTGGAATTTTACTTATTATAGAGCTCGATAATTGTTTGATATATGTAATGCGTTGTCATATAGTTTATGTACTTTAGACTGCATAATTACTAAATCCATGATCCTTTGTGCCCCGCACTACCCTATATCTACTTTTTATCAGATTGATTATATAAAATTATTCTTTTATTACAGGATCGTGCAAGAAATGCTAGTGAACGTATGACTGCCACAACCACTCTTACGATTAACATACAAGATGCGGATGATCAGGATCCATCCTTTATTTACCAGGGTTGTGTATTACTGGATGGTGCTTGTATTAACCCCGAATATACTGCAACGGTAAAATACTATGAATACTGCAACTATGAATTATTTGTTCAACATAAATTTTATACTAAATAAATAATTTTTCATCTTTAAGGTCTCGAGCGGTGTTTTATCTGGAATTCTTCTGATATCACCTGAAAAAATCCAGGCGGTGGATATGGACACACTCCAAGCCCCCATTCGATATTCTTTCTTGAGTGGAACACCCGCTGATTGGGGCGAATATTTCGAAATTCACCCGAACACAGGAGCTGTGCGTCAAATCAAGGCTATTGATACAGTTGAACCCAAAAGATATGAATTGATTGTAAAGGTAATTTATATCAAAATTGAATTGATAAATCTTTGAAATATGCGTGATTTTTGTTGAGGTGTTATGCTAAGTTATTTTATCTTCGAGTGTGGACATCATACGTAGGGGATGGTTTGGCTACTTTTTTTTGATCAGCCATAATTTTAGTAAATTACCAGATAGGTGGGAGAAAAGTAAATTAAATGGTAATTTGAACATTTGTCGACGTGGAAATGCTAAAATACTAACTTCAAATACGATGTTTTCAACATAAAATCAAATCATATAAAAATAGAGCCAGAAGTACAACCGTCCACATCCGAAGGACGGTTGTGACAGCGATTGGGGTTAGCAGTGACAGACATAAAAATAGGTATAAATTGCAAAATTGTTTATGTCGACTTTTATTGTCGTCAATAACAATAATATGTGACAAAACACAACATAAACATTTTCAAAAAAAAAGCTTATGAATAAAATATAACAGTATATAGAAAAACACAATTGCTTAAACGAAGTTAACAAGAATTCTTTAAGATTTTTTTTTCTAATTTTGAATTTTTCTTTTTCTTTTACTTTCGCATTTAGTCTTAGTAAAGTTAGATTTTTTTATTAGACTAAATACAGCTTTCTACCGTACCCAACGCACACTTTTGACAACAAAATCATTATGACTGAACTAAATTATCTAAGCAAAAACTAATTGCTAAAAACTACTAATGTTCAACTTGCAGCAAAATAAAAAAAGAAAGTAATCCATTTATATACAATTAACATCGATCTTTCGATCATTTTATTACGCTAATTTTTGAATTCTATTCATTTACCTTTATCTCATAGGTTCCCCAAGAAGCGCCAGACCCAAGGTAAATGAATACAATTAACAGTTCTGATTGAAATAATCTTTAAAAGTAATGAGGTCTACAGATCATGTCAATGTAAGGCACTAACTGAAAGCAATAATGGAAACCTGTTCGAACGATCATTCTTCGTCTTTCTCCCTTTGGGCCCAATTCCAAAATCAGTATAGTTTAGCTTTTATGACAACTGTTAGTAACGTAACCTGGCACAACCGTATCCAGCCTCCCCTACTTATATGCTAATAATCAGCATATAATCTATTAATCTATAAATATATTACATTTATCAGCCAAATAATGTTAAAATTTGAAAACAATAATTTGACAGAAATAAATATGTATGTATTGGGATATCAAGGCGCCTCGTTGAAGTTTATGGCCTTGCAACCACAAGGTCTAGATAAAGACCTGCGTTATTTACTACCTCATAATAATCAGTAGTGATATCCATTTTTGCTTTAGTCTATAGATCAAAATATGTTTCAAATTCAAAGACATCCGTAATAATAGACATCTGTGATAACTAAAGAAAATGATATTAAACCTTTCGCTGAGCGGTACTTCTGTACGAGCCAGCAAGCTGCAAAAGTATTTGTGACACAACAAATTTCACGATTTTTCATTCATTATCAATGAAAATGTATTTAGAAATTCAAAATTACACTTGAAAAAAAAATACAATAACGAATTATAATTCTCAATTCTCAATCTCGAAGAAAAAGACGAAACTTTATGTCTAAAGACAACACTCGTACCACAGGTGGTTAAGTATGTGTCGGCTATAGGCGACACTCGTAGCGATAGTGTTAAATGTCTTCATGTAATAGAGCGATTGCGATTAAATGAAACTCGTATTTATTAAATATACGCCAGACCCAAGGTAAATGAATACAATTAACAGTTCTGATTGAAATAATCTTTAAAAGTAATGAGGTCTACAGATCATGTCAATGTAAGGCACTAACTGAAAGCAATAATGGAAACCTGTTCGAACGATCATTCTTCGTCTTTCTCCTTTGGGCCCAATTCCAAAATCAGTATAGTTTAGCTTTTATGACAACTTTAGTAACGTAACCTGGCACAACCGTATCCAGCCTCCCTACTTATATGCTAATAATCAGCATATAATCTATTAATCTATAAATATATTACATTTATCAGCCAAATAATGTTAAAATTTGAAAACAATAATTTGACAGAAATAAATATGTATGTATTGGGATATCAAGGCGCCTCGTTGAAGTTTATGGCCTTGCAACCACAAGGTCTAGATAAAGACCTGCGTTATTTACTACCTCATAATAATCAGTAGTGATATCCATTTTTGCTTTAGTCTATAGATCAAAATATGTTTCAAATTCAAAGACATCCGTAATAATAGACATCTGTGATAACTAAAGAAAATGATATTAAACCTTTCGCTGAGCGGTACTTCTGTACGAGCCAGCAAGCTGCAAAAGTATTTGTGACACAACAAATTTCACGATTTTTCATTCATTATCAATGAAAATGTATTTAGAAATTCAAAATTACACTTGAAAAAAAAAATACAATAACGAATTATAATTCTCAATTCTCAATCTCGAAGAAAAAGACGAAACTTTATGTCTAAAGACAACACTCGTACACACAGGTGGTTAAGTATGTGTCGGCTATAGGCGACACTCGTAGCGATAGTGTTAAATGTCTTCATGTAATAGAGCGATTGCGATTAAATGAAACTCGTATTTATTAAATATACATTATTTTTAGAACGTTATAAATTATACAACTCAATTAGTCAAATCCAGAGAAGGTCACAAAATTTTATATTTTGCTATAAATGTATATCACTTGATTTAAATTCAATAAATGAATTATTAGTTATGTGCAGAAAAACAAATATTATAAGTAATTGCTCATCTCACAATTTGGAATAATTAAAATCAAGTGCAATAGAGGTCTCATACTATTATAAGATATATAGATTTGATCATGTTTTATTTTTCAAAGCCAGTAAAAATATTAAGAATAAAAAAAATTATTTGTATATCATTACAGTTAATACTGTATCGTTTTAAACATATTTATGAAATAATCTATAATTATAGATGATTAGCCAAATATGAACTAATGCAATCACGAAAAACGAAGATGTTGAACAGCTCTAGTAAGATACTCGTATATAAATAACATTGCAATATATTTTCAATCGTTATAAAACCAGACACTTAAATCCGCATCAGTGCAATTATTATGTATTAGAAAATCTCTAATGTTTTTCTAAGTACTTCGTTCTTATGTATATGTATATATATATATATATATATATATATATATATATATATATACTGACATATGAAGCATTTTACTATATTTGGTCTTCGAAATTTGTCCATATTCGGGATTTTTAAATATATATCCTTATATAACCAACATAAACCAATGTGTTAATGTATAAGAAAACGAAATATTAAATTTTATTTCATTTCTTTACATTAGTTTATTTAAAAAAAAACATAATTCTTAAAGTAATTAGTATTTTCAGTTTCACAGCTAACAGTAATACACGTATATTTAACAATAAGTATACATTTTGTTAACATTCCTATCGGTTCCGTACCAATGCTTATGCGTTAGACAGCGACGCGGCGCTTACGCGCTTTATATTTTGTCCCTATGTAGTTAAAGCAGTACGATTGCTTTGAAAAAAAAGTTCAGATCTTCCACAATATGTCAAAATAAAAAAAAAAATTTTTTTTTCAAAAATTTCAAATTTTTTTTAAAAAATTTTTTTTTTTTCAAAAAAAACTAATTTTTTGTCCAATTTATAGTTTCTCAAAAATCTTATTTTTTCGAAGTAATTTTTTTTTTCAAAAATGTTAATCGTTTTAAAAAAAAATAATAATTTTTGGTACGGGAAGTTCCAGCACGATGCCCTAATTGCCTTAAGACAGAATTCCACTTACAGCTAGTTTTAGAAATATATTAAATGGTGACTGTGCTGTTGCGGATTAATTTATCGGTTTGGAAGATTTTTTTTACTTGTCAATCAATTCGAATTTTAGATTGTTTTTAGAAGTTTATACCAATTGCAGCTACTTTGGTAACTGTAGGTAAAGTATTGTAATTGCAAAAAAATACGAAAATGAGTTTTTTATATATTTTTACGTTTCAAAGGTTTCCGAATATTTTGGCATACGTTATAAAAATGGATGTATGTGTGTATGTGTGTGCATACAAATTTTCGTCGTCGATTTTGTGAACAGGGATCAACCGATTTGAATTATTCCACATTCGATTTCTAGTGCGGAGTAGACGTGCTGATTCGAAATAAAGAAATTATTAAATTTTTGGGGTGACAGGCGTAGAGGTTTCGGAGATCCAATAAAAAAAAGTAAAACAATTCATGGTCAAAAACGATCATTGGACATATGAGCATTAAATTATCAGATATTTTATAGAGATTTTAATAATAAGTACAAATATTTAGATTACTATGGGTTTCACAATATTTAGATTACTATGGGTGCGTCGCGGCGCTTACGCGCTTCGTCATTTTTTCCGAAAATATCAAAACTCTCAAAAATCTATCATTTTCAAAATTACAATATTTTGAAGCTTTTTTAAAAAAAAATATTTTTGGTACAGAAAGTTTCAGCAACGCCTCAAAGCGCAATGCCATGCACCACTAGTTTAATTTTGGATGCCAAATCAGTGAAAGCGTGCGAATAAAAATTTTATTCACATACACTTCACTAGTTTTACCTTTTATCGATGAGCATTACGAAAATGACTGCACCGATTTTGAAAATTTAACATGCATCTGATTGAACTAAATAACTAGAATTCGACTTGTGTGATACGTCTAGTAAAAATGTAACATATTTTGAAAAATCAAGACAGTTATATGATATGTTAATTGGTTATCGTGCGAATACGGATTATTAAATTAGTTTGAAAAAAAAAAGAAATTTCAATCCACGTCGATCAATTTGGTTATTCTCAGATGTCCGTAAATTTCCATCACTTACAACGAGTTTGTTTTAATTTCAGGCGCAGGAAGTGTCAGAAGCACAAAGGTTCGCGACGGCTAAATTAGCGATAGAGGTAAAACCAGTAGACGCGAACCCACCTGTAATTAACGCGACCGCCGTCGAAGGATACGTTAATGAAAATGCTCCCGTCGGAACCAAGGTTGTCGATGAAAATGGAGATCCCGTTACACTCACTGTCACAGATGAAGACCTGGTAAGTGTATATTTCGTTGGAATTATAGAAAATGGACTAATAAATTCCTAAACTTTATTCATCTACTCGACCTTTTTTGAAGACTATTTCAAATTTTCTTATGCAAATAATAAAAATCTAATTATACTTATTAATCAGATATATTGCCAAAATTTTTATCATTATTTATATATTATTTTAATTAGCTATAAATATAATTCTATAATTTTCTAATTGTTCAATAATTCAGTCGAATCCAACCAGTCTAGCAAACCTTATATGATTCTGATTAAAATAGTATACTTGTAATTATTACCCTCGCTATTAAGAGAAATACGGATAAAATGGCAGAGTGACTTTATTTTAAAAAAATGGCTAGTTTTAGTAAAGTTCAACATGATAAAAGCTAAAGTCGCAATTCTGTCAGATGTTGAGCGTCATTGTCACAGTCTTGTCTCAGTAATCAATTCAAACTTGTATCGCGCCTTCAAAACTTTGTTTTGTGGGTGGTTTTTCTTACGTTATTTGTAATTATTTCTATTAAAGTCTACGAATTTATGCCAGTACTAGCGATTTCGATCAATTGTAATTGTTTTGTAGTTATCAGGTGTTCAGCTTCGAACAAAATGATAATCAAAGGACAAAATGACATTGCACTATTTTGCAAGACCTGAACATTGTACTGTTTCGCAAGACATGAACTTCCCGATTTGTGTAAATAATCGACTTAACTCATGATAGATAAATTAATTTATGAGTAGTTAAAAGTATTCGGAGTGTATTTATTACACATTATTGAAAATCGAACACGTCAACCCGGCCGGAGTATTTTTTAAAAGCAAATTTTCAAAAACCAATAATTTTCATAATTGAGCCAGTTTTTGTAGGACTTCGATTGTTTAGTATGTTCATTAAGACCAAGTACTCTATCTTTATACCAAGTAAATCGTCTAATTTTAATTTTAATTTTTAACAAACGTCAAAAAAACTACTCTTTTTCTCAAACTTTGATGAATTTTTAAAATTAAACTACTTGTCGTAAGGCCGTAATATTTCAGTAAGTTCTATAAGACCATAATATATATCGCCAAAAAAAGTTCCATAAAAATCGGCTTAAATTTTTTTTCGACAGTTAATTACAAGAAAATGGCACGGTAGATTTTTACGTAAAACTAATCAGTATCATTCCCAACTAATCTTTCGCACAGTTTTTGATTTTTAAAATCGATTCGGTAGTATGAGCTTAAATGTGGACGAAAAGTTTAACACTTTTTTCCAAATTACAAATAAACGGCTTCCAAATTACACTTTTTTCCAAATTACAAAAAAAAAACTGTAAAAAAGATTTAAATCGTTTGTAGTATTATTAAATAAATAATTATCATTAAAAACCAAATGACATGTCATTTTGTCTTTATTTGCCCTATTACTCCAATAGTTCTGAGATTTGCTTTTTATTTTTATTTGATTCTCAATTCCAAAATATAAGAATTATACTATCAAATGTGAATGAAAATTTAATGTTGGTGTATTTAAGTTGAAAAATTTATAGTATGATAGTTATAATAATTTATAATATAACACTTTGTATTCGATTTAAAGATGTTGCTAGAAGTCTTTGTTCCGATAATCGTAACAAGCATAGACTTAAAAGGAAATACATAAAAAGTTTTTCAATTATCAAATGTATTAAAAAATGTATCTTATAAATTCAATTCACAGGGACCCGATAATCCCAAGCCCATGTACACATTCGAGTTAACAACTCCATTTTTCGAAATCGACAAGAACGGTGTTCTTGTGGTAAATGAAGAAAATCTAGATCGCGATCCTCCAAGTCCGGGAAACTTCAAATTCCAGGTGCGTTATCTTGCATTATCAAATAATACTTGTTTTTTTAGCATTAATTGGTTTTAATCGAATTAATTTAATTACAGGTAGTAGCGAGAGAAACCTTTGGAAATGCAGCTAGTGCACCATTATCGTTGTCGGTTAATTTAATTGATGTAAATGATAATGCTCCAAAACTTCCAATGCTAGCTCCGATCTCGATTCCAGCTGGTGAAAGTAAACGTGAAGTTGCCCAGGTACTTGTTGCATATATATAATTGCAGATAAAATGATACATAATGAAATAACTAAATTGAAATGTCAAATTATTATCATATCAAATGATTATTAAATTTTTAAATTAACACTTTTCTAATACCGAAAAAAATTGTAGCATACATATATACACATGTATAAAATTCTGGTGTCATGATGTTCGTTATAATACTTCTCGGAAACGGTTGAACCAATTTCGTTGAAATTTTACGTTCGGTGTTACAGAGAATAGGTTACCTTTTTTCATATCTCTAAGTGGTAAGGGCTAGCAACCCTTAAATTTTTTTAATTGTTAGACTAATTTTCATTTCGTAATTTAAAAAAACGCATACAGTCTTAAATTTTCACCCTCCTACCACAAACCCCTATTTCTTAATAATCATTTTAGTAATCAAATTTCATATGGCTTTTAAGGAGATCAATACAATTAAAAAATACATCAATTAAAAAGATAAATGTTTATAAAATAATATTTCATTCGATGAATCGTCTAGGTTCCGTTCGTAGACATAAGTTCTTCTGTAGAAGTATTTTATTTAAACCATTGCTGATTTTTATACGACTTTTCGGCATTTTATAATTGATTCATCTATAATTTATATATTATATTATTAATTAAAGATTGAAGAATTATAATAAATAACAGAGTTAAATTATTAACTTCCCGTAGGGTAAGTTATAGTAATCGCAAAAATATCGAAAATGAAATTTTTTATATATCTCTACGTTTCAAAGGTTTCTGAACATTTTGGCATATCTTAAAAAAATGCATGTGTGTGTGCGGATACAAATTTTCGTAGATGATTTCGGGAATACGAATCAACCGTTTTAAATGATTTAAAACACATTCGATTCCTATTGACAGGGAGACGTGCTGATCAGTTTTTGGACTAGACAGGTCAAGTCGTTTCGAAGGTAAAATGTGCCAAAAATGGTAATTTTTGAGAGAACGGAGCGTCCGATTTCAATAATTCAAAAAAGCTTTTACTTGTATTGAGAGAATAAAGAGATGAATACATTTTTGGAAAGGCAAGTCTAACGGTTTCGGAGATCGAGTAAAAAAAGTAAAAAAAAAATTGCCATCTGGGGGGTCATGAATGATCATTAGACATATGCACATCAATTCATCAAATATTTTATAGAGATTTTAATAATAAGTATAAATTTGGTTTACATTTCTTTGGGTTCCGTACCAACGTTTATCCGTTAGACTGCGACGCGGCGCTTACGCGCTTCGATATTCGTTCTCTAAAACAGCCACGCAGCACGATTGCTTTGAAAAAAAGTTCAAAATTACCAAAACAAATTAAAAATATAAAAAAACTAATGTTTCAAAAAAGGCATTTTTTTTATTTCAAAATTCTCAATTTTTCAAAGTTTTCAAAAGCTTTTTTGAAAATTTTAATTTTTGGTACAGGAAGTTTCACCAATTTGCCTTAAGGCGCGATGCCATGCACCACTAGTGTAATAGTAAAATTCAACTTATATTACCCTTTTGTTTAAAGAGTAATTTCTAATGAAATAAGTAAAAATTTTCAATATTCATCGTATATATTTATTAGCATGAAAACAAGACAGAAATCAAAATACATTATTCAAATCTTTTATTGTTGAGTTATTTTGGTATTACATATTCCTACCAATATTGATCTCTAGTAAAATTTTGCTTCAATAATTTTTAATATGATTACGAGTTAGAGTCTCCGACGTGTTGCGATATTAGAACAGTTCGCTAAACTAACATAATTAATTATTATTTCAATAAATCAACCTCATAAAAATAATATCCGACAAAATGAGCTTGACCAAAAACATTATTAAAATTAATGTATTCGCATATAAATTAAATGTTAATCTATTTTCAGATTAAAGCAACTGATAATGATATAGGAGAAAACGCTATAGTTACATACAGCATCTACCATGTATCCAATAATGGTGCAAACAAGTTTAAAATAGATCCCGATACAGGAATTATAGGTAAGGATTTATTTTTATTTATTTATATAAGTGTAATTTGATTTACATATACGTTTGCAGTATAATCATTGGCGTTCTGTTTCCGCCTTCCACAAATTGATATTTATCTTGAAATTCTATTTATCAAGGGTCAATAATTCAATTATGTAAAATGCACAAAATGGATAGAAACTATAATAAAAAAAATAAAATTTATAAAATATAGATAAAAAGAAAGTCTTGAGCTTTGATTCATTCGATTGGAAAAAGCTTAAAATACTATTTATCATGACTTCCTTATAAATTATGTTTTTTGGAAATTGCATTCCTTTTACACAAATTGCATAAACTTCTTGATAGACAAAAATATGTTTTCATGAATTTCTCAGCAAAACTATATACCCATAAATTGTTCAGTAATTAGTTTTTGAACAGCGATTAAAGAAAAGATTAATAAAAGGAAATAAATCAGTCTCATATAATATACACCAAAAGGGAACTAAAATCTACCAAATAAATTTTATTTTTTTAAACGCAAATAAATATTGCTGTTAATTGTTCACGACACGAGCTACAGATAATAATTGCTAAAATCGGGACTCTATAGTATTTATATTGGTTTTCTTTCTTCTGTAGAGACAACAGGAAAATTAAGTGCTGGTGAACAATATAGCATAACAGTACAGGCATCTGATCGAGGTGGTCTGCACAGTCAATCGATTGTCGAAGTGTCTGTCGCTCCTGGACCAAACACCAGGCCGCCCGTATTCACCAGGCCTGTGTGGGAGGTGCAGGTTAGCGAAGGCGCTGAAATTATGTCCACTGTCACCACGATAACGGTAAGGAACTTTTTTTTATAAAAAACTAGCAAACCCGACGAACTCCGTTTCGCCACCAGATGGTTTCGTGAGAAAGATGAAGAAATTTTTTGTTTGTTTTATATTTGAAAAGGAGAAATTTGATTTTATTACACATCAGTAATGAATTTATTTCGATTACAAAAATGAAGTGTTTTTTAGTTGAACTTCTCTAAGTAAATGAAAGTGAATCCGCAAATTATCCGTTTCATTGAAGTGCTCTTTGGTGAACCACATTTTTTGTTTTTTGGTCTGACGTAAACACGAACAAAGCGGATGGTTTCCCAACTCGTAAATAGACAACGTATAACTGCCCATGTGAAAAACAATGATTTTCTAAATAATCTATTTGAAATTTATCCCGCAAACCTTAAGCGATTGGCCTTGCGACTTGTTATTGCGAACGCAAGGCGAACTGGAAATTGCAATCGTTTGAAGTTTAACGGAAGACCAGTCGGAATCATTGGTATGTCACCAAATCGCCAGCAATTTTTGATTGCATGGTGAAATTCAGTGCGTGTACATCATTATTCTTTGCAGCAAGAATTGCTCGTTGACTTAACCAAGCGTAATTCTCACTAATGTCATTACTCGATTTTTTAATTACGGTGCGTGAAGTTCCAGCAATTTGCATTAAGGCACGATGCAAAACCTTTCCAACGAATGCAAAATTGTCGAAATCGGTTCGTCGTTCTGGAGTTATTTCGTCAGGAAGGAAAACCCGATTTATTTTTATATATATGTATGTAGATAAATAAAGTTGTAGCTATGTTATATTATAATTATTACCCAAATTTTAGGCAAAGGATCCTGAAGATGACCCAGTAGCATATTCCATTATATCCGGTAACGATCTTAGACAATTTTCAATCGGTTCAAATTCTGGCGTTATTACCGTAATAAGAAAGCTCGACAGAGAAGATTTGACACGATATCAACTTGTAAGTAATCGAATGAATAATATTGAACTTCACAAAACAAATAATTTCAAACTCAATACGCATGTAACTAAATGTCGAATCCATTTGCAGTTAATCAAGGCCGAAGATCCGGGAAAGTTGTCGAGCACGGCAACTGTAAACATCAAAGTGACTGACATAAACGACAAAAACCCGGAGTTTGATGAATCATCTTTGCCTTATACTTTTAAAGTCAAAGAAGGTGATTAATATGATTTGCCTACCGATGCATACTTTTGTGGCATTTATTTATTTCTTTCGTATTATTTATCATAGGATTAGTCAATGCGACCGTCGGAAGAGTGCATGCAACGGATGCCGATGAAGGAGTCAATGCGGAAATATCCTATTCACTACCGGGTGACATACCATTTATGATTGATGAAAAAACCGGTGAGATAAGAACGAAAATAGCTCTTGACTACGAAACCCAGAAGGTAGGTTCAGAAATTTATCACTTTACCTAATAATAATTAATATAATTTGTTCATGATTAAAATGTTAAATCATTCAAAAATATATAACCATAAAACATCGGGAACAATGATAAAATGTGTCGAGATATATTGAAAAAAAATGCTACCCCATTTAGTTTTTAGCTTCAATTTTTAACTGCCCGTAGGGTAAGTTATTGTAATCGTTCTAAAATTAAAAATGAAAATTTTGTTATATCTTCACATTTTAGAAATTTCTGAGTATTTTGGCATACCTCAGAAAAAATTGATGTGTGTGTGCGTATGTATTAATACCACTTTCAATTATCGTCCACGTTTTCGGGAGCACGGATAGACCGATGTGAAATGTTCAAAAAGCAATCGATTCCGATTGAGACGGGCTGAACAGTTTTTGGCAAAAGTCGGTCCAGCCGTTTCGCAAAGAAGCAAAGAATGCATAAAATTGAAATTGAGTTTTTGAGAGAACAAAGCATCCGATTTGAATGATTCCAAAAACATTCAATTTGTGATGATGAGAAGACATGGTGATTAGTTTTTCGCAAAGATAGGCCTAGCAGTTTCAGATATAGGAAGGAGATAAAAATGTAAAAAATTGCAGTTTTTGAGAGAAAGAAGCCTCCGATTCGAATGATTTAGAAAACATTCTGTAATATTTTTTTATTTTACTTTTATTTTTAAATATCAAAAATAATTCAAATTTTAATTTTAATTCGAGGATTTTAATTTGCCTTGAGGCACGATGCCGTCATATTTTATAAATCACTTGATTTCACATTGACACCAATAAAACCGAAATTGCTATATATGAAATAACCATTATTATTTAATCTGATTTATTCGCATATCGCTTCAAAGAAATCATTAGTAATACCATTAGTGATCATTGATTGATATTTTATTTAGTATTATATGCACTTTTGTGTGCATGCTTACAATTAGTTACTTAATTTATTGCTTAAATATATTGTAAAGATTTTTAACATCGCGAAGGAGAATTTTTCGCCAGAAATTCGACTTGCTGATTCTATGTTTTCTCGAGATTTCAAACCATTCTTGATCGTTTGAGACCAAATTTAATCTATGTGCGTGTGTGTGCATGTGACCCGATTTTTGAGCTTTCGTAGATTCTCAAAAACTACTGCATCAATTTTGAAAATTTAAAAGCCATTTGATAAAATTCGATAAGCGCTCTTTCACGATAGTATTTTGACACGATCGGCCGAGCCGTTTCTTTAAAATTACCAGAAAAGTGTTTTTTTCTGAAAAATCAATGTCGATCGTCTGCATCTATCGGAAAGTTTTTCCGATATGCTTTAGGGCAAAGTGCCACATTCACCTATCTATTGAGATAACTTACTGTAATTGAAATCAAATAATTTGATATTGTTGTAAGCAAATTAGCACATGCATGAAAAAATATGGTATTAATTTATATCAATAATGAAAAATATGGTAATAAATCGAATTACACTTTTTATCACTGATTAAATAAAATATTGATTTTATTTATTATAATAGTCTATGCACGCTTAATATCATATCAAAATTATATTCGCATTCGGTTAATTATATATAGTTTATAGTTTGGTGAAAAGTCTCAAACATAAAGAAATTTCACCTCTAAATGCTTTATTGTATATGGATCTCTTTACGAATTCATGATACAAATCACTGTAATTCGCCAAGAATTGAATAGGAAGCATTAAAGAACTTTGAATATAGAATATAATATTTCAATCTAGGATCTAGGATCAATTATTATCTAACAACAAGATAAAAACTATATTTTTATATATTAAAGTTGTTTAAATAATATTTGAGTTACGGAATTGGTTTCCGAACTACACCTGAGAAAGGCTGAATGCACAAAGAAATAGATAAAGAATTTTTGATACAGAAATAATTATTTATATGACAAAATGTACTTAAAAATAAATCCCTGGTGTCAGTGGAATCATTTATTAAACAATTATAATTTGTTTAATAATTAGAATTGCGTTGTCCCTTTTCAGGAATACCAATTTACTGTCACCGCCAGAGATGGTGCTCCAGACCCACGCTTGGCCACTGCCTCGGTTACCGTCAGCGTTTTGGATCTACCTGACGAACTACCAATTTTCAAACAAACCGAATACACGGCTGTTGTTGCTGAAAATTTACCAAATCATCTAGTGGCCACAGTTCATGTAAGTGACAAATTCGTTCGATATAGATATTGCCTGCACATTCGAACACTAAACTCGATGTTGATTGATTTAATATTGAATTTGAATGACAGCATATGCAAAAGTGACAAGTTGCGTGAAAGTAACTTCCAATTGACGCTATTTGACAACCTGCTTTTCAGGTTTACTCTATGAAATTGATTATTCGTATTGCTTCTTTTTGAAGTGGGACGCACATTAATTAAATAATTTATTAATCATATATATGCATATCGCAAGATTTATTGCGGTTTAGGAAATCAAGAAGTGTTTCTTATTAACAACTTATAATATATTACAAATTATATAAACAACATAATTACTAAATTAAATTATTTATTATTAATTATTAATACAATACTAGAATTAATAAAAAAAACTATTAAGTGGCATCAGTTATAAAACGCCTTAGAACATATAATAGTTCTTCTAATATATAATATATTAGATAATATTTCTTAGTGTCATTTATCTGAATCAAATAGTTGTATGTAAACTAAATTAAAATAAATTCGAAGTTTTATTTGTAAAGCTTGCAAATGAAAATCATTTTTAATTTGGTAGCAATAGCTTATGCAGAGTGTCCCAGAACTCAACGTCAAGCCGAAACAGGATGATATTATATTGACCGCAAGTATCATGAAAATTAATTTTAAAAATATTCAATGCAGTTTGAACATTGAGCATTTATTTACTATTATTTTACATTTTGAACATTTAACTACACTTATCTGCACCTAAATCATTTTCTGAATATTGTAGTCAATTTTTATTAATTTTGCTCAGTTAAACTTTGGATCCGTAACCGTAAACATCATTTCTTGGACAGCAGTGAAAAATAATAACACAATTGCTCTAAGTTTTCTAGAATTAAGATTTGTTGTTAAACTATGAATTTAAAATTTTCAAAATTTGTCGACTCTAAGGAGCTCTCTTTTGAAAAAAGTACTGAAGTTTGCGGGCAAGTTTCATCCTAAGTTGGCGCATTCAATCAGGATTGTAAAATAGTAAACTACTCGACAGTTACGAAATAAAAAATTTTGATTGGAAAACTAAAATCCTAAAAATTACTAAATATTAGTAACTATGAAACTCAATTCTAGTTTTTTTAATGAGGATTTTTAGCGTCGTTTGAAATATTATAAGGCCTTCCTACTACCCACATTTAATTAATAAATTTCGAAAAGCCAAGGAAGAAAACCCTGATCTTCTTTTGGTGTATTGTCTTACACTAATTTGGCATATAAAATTAAAGACAACCAATTTCAAACGGTTGGTTTTGGTTTACCGAAAAACTTCAGTTTTTTAAATAAATATTAACATTGCAGGCTGAAGATCCGGACACCAAGAAAGAAATAACATACACCATAAGACAGGGTCCTGCCGAATTATTCACCATAGACCCTGTCACAGGAGACATACGAACAACTCGAGGATTGGACTATGAAGAAGACACCAGCTACGAACTGATCGTAGGGACTGTGGAAAACAAGGGAAATTCTCCTGGTGCAACGGCACGAATATTCGTTACTGTGGAGGTAAATAATAAAGAAAATTCATGTTTATATCGTTTGCTGTAATTTGTTTGGATTACTTTAGAGTGCATCTTTAGTAAAAAGTCAAAAAATAGTGAAATGGAACATATCGTGCAGATGTGTGCAAGCATTATTAATTCGAACTAAAATTGTTTTTTTCTTTTACAGGATGTGAACGATATTCCACCAGTGTTCAGTACCATACCCGACGTTCAAGTTTTGAACGACAACTCACCAATAGGACTTTTGGTGACTACTCTTCGAGCTACAGATGGAGACAGCACGTCTCCTAATAACAAAGTTCGCTTTGAATTAATAGGGCGTGGACAAGCTGCCAAATATTTTGTACTGGACCCATATAGTGGGGCTTTACGAGTACGCGATGACCTCAGTAAAAGTGCCGAGGATCAATATTATGTTAGTATACATACATATTTCTTAAATTTTCTGTTTTTCATATCACCAAGATCTATCTTTGGGTAACTAATTGGTGACCTAACTATTATATACCGCATCATCCACACGGCAACTAAAGGCCTGAATAGTTGTAAAAAAGTAAGACGCATTCCAATTATGTCAAGTAGTTAAGTCCAATTATGTCAATAATTCATTTTTATAGTTAAAGTTATATTGAATATTGGTTTCATATTGTTATCAATTGGTATTGGATTAATCATTATTATTAATCAATTATCAGATCGACGTCAAGGTTTACGATTTGGGAGAGCCGCAGCTTTCCAGCTCCATGACACTATCAGTAGAAGTAAATCGTGTTGGAAGTGAAACCACAGAACCTGGTGCTGGTTTTGCAGACGATACATTTTCAGTAGAAGTCGAGGAAGATACGCCACCAAGGTCATTTTTGAAAAGGTTGTCAGTTATTGGAGCCAGACAGACCGATGATGAGACGCCTGTTACTTGTCGCATACAGAAAGGAAACGAGTTGGGTGAGTTAGACAACTTTCCTGAGGCTATAGTGAAAAATGTCATCATTGTTCATTTCATTTTATGGCTCAAAGATGTGATGTATATAATTTTTTTTTATTTATTTAAATAAAATAAAAACCGAATGGAATACATAAAGAAAATTACAAATACAGTGACACTACGACTTAATTAATTTAACGAAATTAATTCAATCCGTAACCACGCTCGTATATCGAATTGCTCGTATCTCAAAGCTTTTTCTTCCATATAAATACATTGAAATATCATTAATTCGTTCCAGCACTTCGGTTTTTGAATATTGAAAATAAATTCACTATGTATTAATTTATTTATTTTTTCTTGCCATTTATGATATTGCGCAAATGAGTTAGACATGTTGCAACTTTTTAGGGGTGACTTTTTTATATACTCATATACTTTTAGAGCTCAGAAAGCAGCTTATGAATTATTGTAAAGCCCTTAATTGAAAGTATACCCTTTTCCAATTTCTGTTTAAGCAAAGTACATAATTATAATGTCTTACATTCCAATCGTAATCGTGATCCACATATTTTTCAATAATTTGCCACTAACAATTTCACAGAAAACTCTTACTCGCATAAAGCTCGTATCATGAATTTAGCTTGATGTAAAGAGTGGTATTTCGAAACACTCGTATGTTGGGTCACTCGTAAGTCAAGGTACCACTGTATTATAATCACCATCATCAGTAACGATGCATACGTAAAGAAAAATCATCTATACCCAATATGCCTTTGATACACGTTTACATATTTGCCGACAATATTTGAGTACACATAATAGCTATTTTTTTAACCTTTTCACTTTTCTAAATGCGAACAAAGTTATTTTATTACATCGATTGATGATCTAAAACTAGCTGTAAGTGGAATTCTGTCTTAAGGCAATTAAGGCATCGTGCCTTAAGGCAAATTGCTGGAACTTCCCGTACCAAAAATTATTAATTTTTTAAAAACGATTAACATTTTTGAAAAAAATGCACTTTGAAAAAATAAGATTTTTGAGAAACTATATATATGGACAAAAAATTACTTTTTTTTTGAAAAAAAGAATTTAAAAAAAAAAAATTTAATTTTTTTTTTTGAACAAAAAAATTTTTTTTTAAATTTTTTTTTTGAAAAAAATTTTTTTTTTATTTATTTTGACATATTGTGGAAGATCTGAACTTTTTTTTCAAAGCAATCGTACTGATTTAACTGCATAGGGACAAAATATAAAGCGCGTAAGCGCCGCGTCGCTGTCTAACGCATAAGCATTGGTACGGATCCTATAAGAATGTTAACAAAATGTATACTTATTGTTAAAATCTCTATAAAATATCTGATAATTTGATGTGCATATGTCTAATGATCATTTTTGACCGCCAAATGGCTATTTTTTTTACTTTTTCCTCCATATCTCCGAAACCGCTAGACCTACCTTTATGAAAATTTTATCGTATCTTTATCTTGACAATACAAGTGAAATGTTTTTTGAATTATTTAAATCGGACGCTCCGTTCTCTTAAAAACTGAGTTACCGTTTTCGGCACTTTTTGCCCCATATCTTCGGAACGGCTAGACCTGCCTTCGCCAAAAACTAATCAGCACGTCTCCTTATCAATACAAATCGAATGTTTTTTGAATTATTCAAATCGGTTGATCCGTATTCCCGAAATCGTCGACGAAAATTTGTATCCGCACATACATACACACACGTACATACATACACACACACATACACACACACATACACACACACACACACATCCATTTTTTCTAAGGTATGCCAAAATGTTCAGAAACCTTTGAAACGTAAAGATATATAAAAATTTTCATTTTCGATTTTTTTGCGATTACTATAACTTACCCTACGGGAAGTTAATAATCTTATTGTTAGCTCATTTTTGTAATTTAATGTAAAATTATAGATTATAATTAAATACTAGTACATTACCATACCCGCCACGGAATTATACCCTCGATGGTTGAATCAAAAACTTCAACGTTGCGACATCTCTTGATTCTTCAATTTTTCCATGATTCAAACACGCGAGAATTTAAAAGATTGATTATTTCGGCATATATTTTGTTAAAATATTATATCAAATATTCACGAATTGAAGAACTATAATTTCTTAGTAAGCGATAAACGTGATGGTTCAATTTTTTCATCGTTTGAATTGCAATACCAAAGCCAGTAAACAAACCCCTTTAACTTGAATCTGTTTCAAGTATCCTTTAATAATATATTATGCTCGTATAAAATATATAAATTTGAGATAATTTCAATCAATACTTTTCAGGATTGTTCTACATCAATGCAACGGACAGTCAGACATGTTCTTTATACACCAACGAAACCGAATTGGACTACGAGACCGCAAAGGAGCACATCCTACATGTCGTGATGGAATCACGTGTGGTCAAGATCAACCCAGCTAAGAAAACTTGTATAGTGAAAGTTTTGGTGACTGATGAAAATGATAACAAGCCGACGTTTATGTATCCGGAAAAAAGGTCCACGAAATATTACGCTGCCATCCCTAATGATTCACCTTGGGACACCTCAGTATTACACGTGCAGGTAAAGTATAACATTGTACCGGAGGTGGTTCAGAATTTGAAAGTTTTTGTAATTTTGTAATCAACATTATTCTGCGATTTGTTTATACAAAAAATAAGCAGAGACTGCTAACATGATATATGAAGAATAATAAAAATGATTAAAAATTAGGGGATACACCCAACGGCGTATCTACTAGGAATATTGAATTTGAAAGTGCTTGTGAAAAAATATTATACACCTTTCTAAAATCAAATTTTTCCGCATTAGTGTGATTTGCAGTTTGTTCAATGGAAATTATTTTATCAATTTTTCTTCCTTTAATTTTCCTTAGTTTTTATCATCGTTTTTTGTTATATGAATATAGATAAGTTCTCCAGAAGTTATAACCAGATACATCTGGTTAACAAACATAAATGTTTGGCTCACCAACAATTCCTGATCATCGATCAAAAGGACAATATATCCATATATACTTAATTAAATATATGTGAAAAAAAAAATATATATTAAATGCTTCTTCAAAAGAAATAATTAAAAAAAACTGAGTTGAACCCTTTTGGTAAAATTTACCATTCTAGCGAATTCGTAACTAATTGATCATAGGAATGCTACGACAAAAGCTTTTCACCGATAAAGGGAAAAGACTTAAATGGGAATTTCGAATATTAAACATTATTTATATATATGTAAAACCACAATCAATATATTACAAATAAATAATTTCTAACTTAATGTATCGCTTTTGTAACTAAAAAATACAATTAATTCTCAGGCTACGGATAAAGACAGCGGCCAATATGGTAAAATCGAGTACGACTTATTGCAAAATGATATCGCTGATCAGTTTTTTGCAATTGATAAATTAACGGGATTAATCAAAACACAAAAGACATTTGAAGATGTATCAGATAATGACTTACCATTCAGGTTTGTTATCCAAGCCAGAGATAATCCAGGAGAGACCAGTAACTACAATAAAGCCGAAGCAAAAGTAGTGGTGAGTAACTGTAATAAAAAAGTACGAGGTCTGTTCAAAAAGTACCCGGAATTTTCGTTTTTTCAAAAAAATATTTATTTATTCGTCTACATTAATGTGGTCCCCTTCAAAGTAGTCCCCCCCAGATATAATACACTTATGCCAGCGTTTTTTCCAATTTTCGAAGCACCCTTGATATTCACTTTTTGATATGTCCTTGAGCACTCTCAGCGATTTTCTTCAATCGAGGAAAACCGCCGTCCTTTCATGGGTCTCTTCAACTTTGGGAATAGGAAAAAGTCACACGGAGCCATATCTGGTGAATTTTTGCACTTTGCAACACTTTATTTCATTTTTTACGCAAAATTTAATACAAATTCTTTGACTTTTCAATTCTTCCATTGTAAAAATCGCCGAGCTCAGAAAAACACGTCGAACCTTAGCGACTACCACAGACAAAGTAAACAGTGAATATAGCTGAAAATTTCATCATACTTTAGGGGCATGCATACCAACACAATAAAAAAAAAATTTTGACAATCAGACACTCCAGACCCGCGAAATTTAATTATTAGTAATTCCGGGTACTTTTTGAACACACCTCGTATATATGTATAAGTATATGATCTTAGCCATCGAATGCTATTAATTTAAAAGTGTATTTTTTAAAAACTGAACAAGTTTTTCTTGAAAATGTACTAATTATGAGTCACGCCAATATCGAATACAATGACTATAATTATTCCATGAATTAAAGAAAATGATATAGGGCTAGTTTAAATTGTTTCGATTGCTTTGGAGTATTATTGGTATACATTTAGTCTTTTGACTAAATATAATAATTAAAAATATAAGTAAATTGGAACACCAGACATTAATGAAATATTAAAATTATTTTTCAGGTCAACTTGATATCAGATAAGAATCGTATGATATTAGTGTTTGCCGATGCTAGGCCAGATGCCATGCGCGGAAAAGAAGCACTAATTGCCGCAGCAATGCGAGATCAATCAGGCCTAATGGTAGCAGTGGAAAAATTGGCAGCAAGACAACATATAGTCGATGGAGTTTTGGAAACGGATCCAACTGCTACAGATGTATGGTTTTATGCTGTCGATCCCCACACCGATCGTATTTTGGAGAGAAACTCTAGCAGAATTCAAAGGTAAAAAATTAAATACTTGAAAACCTCATGTGTGGGGAGTACGAAGTTTTGATCTATAGATCCTTTTTAGATTGCATTTTGCATCATTTGCTGACGATGTTTATAAGATCACGCTCTACGATAAATGTTTCATTTTCAGGTCAATTTTGGAGGCCCGAGCACAATCTAATTTGACGTTCTTGGTATCTGGTGTTGCTCAGGCTACCGCCAAAGAAATTCATGACCCAGTGTCTCCTAATCCACGGGTGGTGACTGCTATTGCTGTTGGATCCCAACTATTTCCCTACGCCCTTATTACTGTGGCTTGCGTTATTTTTGTACTAGGAGTTGCTGGTATAATTTATATATGCGTTTCGTGGAACAAGTAAGTGTTACTATTGAAATAACCAAATGTGAACTATAATATTTCTATTTGGATTCGTTAAATATAAATTTGTTTATAAAATGTGCATAATAGAATGCTTTTGGATTTTTAATTTAAATATATAAACTAAAAAATTACATTTTATTTAATGTTGCTCGTTTTGTGCAATTGATATGAAGTACTACCACCATTGCTAATTATCTCAGGTTTTTGATAAGTTTCAAAAATCATTCCTTCAGCGAAAAATACATTTTATACAAGATTTAATGTTAGTAATACTCGAATACATTGTTTATTACATTTAAATTTTCATTCAGATACAAGAATTTCAAGCAACGAATGCAGCGCCAATATACTGCGCCGTCAAGTCCTACGCGCTACGACCAAGTTGGAAGTGGCGGTGGAGGCAGTGCAATTGGCGGTACCAACACGTTGGACGCAAGTCTAAAAGAATATGAAACTCAAGTATTGAACATGACAGTTCCACAGGATGATAACGACAGTTACAGCAACTTGCAAATAGACTTTACTACGAAGAATCATGCTTTCAGTTTGGACAACGTCAGCTACATCACTAAAGATAACGGTAAACTTATATGAAGAATATATATATATATATATATATATATATATATATACTAGCAAACCCGACGAACTCCGTTTCGCCACTAGATGGTTTCGTGAGAAAGATGAAGACATTTTTTGTTTTATATTTGAAAAGGAAAAATTTGATTTTATTACACAACAGTAATGAATTTATTCGACTACAAAAATGAAGTGTTTTTTAGTTTAACTTCTCTAAGTGAATGAACGTGAATCCGCAAATTATCCGTTTCATTGAAGTGCTCTTTGGTAAACCACATTTTTTATTTTTTGGTCTGACGTTAACACAAACAAAGCGGATGGTTTTCCAACTTGTGAACAGGCAACGTATAACTGCCCATTGGAAAAATAATGATTTTTTAAATAATCTATTTGAAATTTATCCCGCAAACACTAAGCGATTGGCCTTGCGACTTGTTATTGCGAACGCAAGGCGATCTGGAAATTGCAATCGTTTGATGTCAAACGGAATCATTGGTATGTCACCAAATCGCCAGCAATTTTTGATTGAATGGTGAAATTTAGTGCGTGTACATCATTATTCTTTGCTCCGCAAGAATTGCTCGTTGACTTAACCAAGCATAATTCTAATAATTCTTACTAATGTCATTACTCGAATTTTTAATTACGGTGCGTGAAGTTCCAGCATTTTGCATTAAGGCACGATGCCATGCACCTTTAATTTTCTCAGCTATAAACCTTGCGGAGCCCGAGACCTTTCCAACGAATGCAAAATTGTCGAATTCGGTTCGTGCGTTTTATATATATATATATATATATATATATATATATATATATATATATATATTGGAAAAAGAACATTTTGATTTCTTGTATGTGTTTATTAGTACCTATATATCAAAAAGGCATCTAATAACTGTAACCATATATTTTGTGGCTTTCAATCTTAAACAGTTTCCACTTTTCTTTAAGATATAAGGCCATATTAGTTAAACCTTTGAACAACAACAAAACGTATCAATATCATATCTGTACATTGAATTTGTAGCATCCCAGAAACAACAAATTTTTTCTGAAGTCGGAGCCTGCACTTTCTTGAAAGGACTTTGCTACTGATTATAGCAACATTGTTCGTTGAGCGAGATATTTTGTACAATTTGCTTAGCCTAATTTGCAAATTATTCATTAGAAGAAAAGCGTAGTATTTCATTAAGAGGCATATTTAAATTTTCACTTTCAGCTTGCCAACAAAGTCCAGCCAGCTCCGAGGCGGCAACGACTGCGCGCGCTTCGAGTGTAATTGGCGTCATGGATGACAACCGGAATACCATGAACACCTTTGGACGCAACCGCCTAAACACTTTTCAACGCAACAACACCACTCAACAAGAAATCAACACATTGAATCGCAATAATCTCGCATTGGAGCAACAGCATCACATGAACACAATCAACAGAAGCACCCTAAATAGGAATAAGAATCACTTGGCGGATAACATGAATACGTTGAATAAAAACGCAAGGAACTCTACCCATCATATGCCTTACGAAAATTCACATGATTTGCCGACCATGAATTCCATGTACCAAGGGTGAGTTTGGAATAGCAAAATATAAAAACTGATACTAGATTATGTTGATTTTATGATACATTAGGCTTTGAACAGAGCAAAAGCGATAGTCTCGCCTTTGGGAGTTTCTCTACAAGTCTAATTTTTTTTTTTAATTCACCATATAATTTACAACTGTCTTTAGTCGACATATAGTAAATTTAAAGATAATATAAATATATTACATATGACAAATAAATGGACAATAGTAGAAATAGTCAGTGCTACTTCTACTTCAGAGAGTCTGAACTAGCCGTATTATTTTTGGACCCCTATCCTTCTGATATAGCAACTTTTTTGAACTATAAACCACGTTATATATGATGTAGATGGTGTTCTGTGATAGTTTCCAGGTCTAATTTTCTCCAATAGCAATAATATAATTGAACTTCTTGAAGCAAAATTGGGAAAAGCTATTGTCACTTAGAAACTGCAGCGTGAGACATGGAGACAAAAGATTATAGTATTATCGTTAACTTATTAATTCGAAAAGAAAAATGTTTTCTTCATTTTGACATATTTTGGAAATTCTGAACTTTTTTTCAAAGCAATCTTGCTGCTTGAACTGCATAGAGACGAAATGTCAAAGCGCGCAAGTGCCGCGCCGCCGTCTAACGCATAAGCGCTGGTACGGAACCCATAGAAATGTAAAAAAAAAATTATACTTATTTTTAAAATCTCTATAAAATATCTGATAATTTGATTTGCATATGTCTAAATCATTTTTGACCGCCAAATGGCATCTTGTTTCACTTTTTTCATAAGATCTCCAAAACCGCTAGATCTGCCTTCATGAAAATTTGATCAATTCTTCATCTTGTCAATACAAGTGAAATGTTTTATTCAAATCGGACGCTCCGTTCTCTCAAAAACTGAGTTAGCGTTTTCGGCACTTTTTGCCCCGTATATTCGGAACGGCACATACATACATACACACACACACACATACATCCATTTTTTCTAAGGTATGCCAAAATGTTCAGAAACCTTTGAAACGTAAAGATATATAAAAATTTTCATTTTCGATTTTTTTGCGATTACTATAACTTGCCCTACGGGAAGTTAAAAACTAGTAATTTTTTTTCTCAGTCATTCTGATTTTAGTTTGAATTATTCTTTAGAAATTTTGCAAGACATATTCAAATTTGCATTATCTTAAAAAATGTCTACAAAATCAATAACATTTTGAAATCAAAACTTCAGTCAAAAGCTTTTGGATATGTATCAATCACCATAATATTTTTTTAACAATAATTAAATAGCAATCAGAAACAAAACATTTTTCTATAAGCTATTTTTTCCTGTTTTTTGAGAACTCCAGTAATAGTTCTGGAGTTTTGTATACTTGGCGTGATTGGAGGTTAGACATGATCAAGCGAGAAATGGATATCATACTGCTTGAAGTCAGGTTGTGCAAAACGCGAATTTAAATCTGAGACTTGATTACATGGCCGGATCTTATACTATGGTACCAGGACACCACTACTATATTTTTTAAGAACATTATTAGTCTAAATTAATATAAGAAAAAAATATTATCCTAGATCTATTAATAATTTTATTTTGAAATATCACACGATAGGCAGTAAAAAGTAACCTTCAAAAAAGTAACTATTACATGCATGTTTTTATTATCTAGAAAAGAATTGATAAGAAATGCTCGGTAAAGTTATTCATACTTATATTCTTGTAGTATTTTTCATAATAATCCTAAGTGTTCATATATAACTTTCCTTAGAATTTCCTAAATGTAGACTTGCGCCGAATTTCCTTGGCTGTCTATACGGATTTGTGTGGTACTCGAATAAAAACTGAAAATTTCTAGACGAATACTTTGTGGTAGAAATTAACCGTATACAAAATATTTAAATAAACTTTTGCAACAATATATGCAACTTAAAATTACCGCAGTTTTACCGCATCATGTCGGTTTAACTCAAAAACTTGACAAGTTCATAAAAAAAAATTGCAAACATGCGTGGCGTGACGTCGTGATAGAAGCCACGGCCTTGCAAATACAGGACTCTTAGTTATATTATTATTCCGTATTACGTAAAACCTGATATCAATCAGTAGTATGTTTCCAAGCGAAAGTAACTTATTCGTGCATTGCTCCAAAGAGTTAATATATGATCACGATTAGTACTTCCAAAAAATACTAGTATGAAGTATGTAAAATGTAAGTTCAACTAGAAAAGACCATCGGGTTGCTTCATAAGAATAGCTAGCATAATTATCACTACAACTCATCAAAGTACTAAATGCATCTTTTACAGAGACGACCACATTCCCAATGCGAGCAGCACTAATGACAATGTAACATTTGGCAAACGAGAGTACGGGCACATGGCTTATTCTTACATGAACGACAGGTCACCTGTCGAAACCACCACAGAGCTGTAGAAACAATTGGAAAATAGTGTCATACACCGATTTTCATATCCATATATGAACATCGGTAAGTATCTGAGGTAGGCCCACACTTGAAATCGTGCCAACAAAAGAAAACATACATCTGGTCCTTTGTGTGCAATGCAATATTAAATATTTTTACACCGTTCAAAAAATATGTGTAAATGCAAATATTGTGAGTGCCACATACTAGTATGTGATTTTTTGCGTAAGTGTAATTGTGAAGTGATTGGAAGTATCAAGCAAATAATTTAACTTAATTTACGTGTCATCTAGTTCCCGACTAAGCTACCCAAATATGAACTCTAAAATTTGTGAGTCATTTTCATTTGTTATATTAGAAAATGTTATACTTGGTGGATGAGATATTGAAAATACGCTTATAAAGTATTGACCTGTAAGTAATTACGCGCGTCAAAGGGTTCGTTATCACTAATTAGAGTTAGGGCGTATATTGTGATAAATTTTCGAATGTTCATGAAAGAGTTTTTCGTCCATTAGTGGCCATTTAGCTTTCGCAGTATTATTTATATTATGGGACCGATTCTGCCGCATAACAGACAAATGTTATGGCAAGACCATGTTACGCTCCAACATCCGTACATCATGCTACTGAATCATACTGAATACTGTCAAAATGTTATGCATTTGCTGTGCATTCTGGCGTTTTATACATAAACTGCAACGTCACTTGTATGTTATGAATCTGCGTCAAAAGGCTCTGTTATCTTAGATCGATTTGCCATTTGTGAGACTCTCAAGATTTCTAACTGAAAACCTGAGAAAAACGCCTGACTGCACAGCAACCACATGGTTTTTTATAATATTTAGAACGATTTTGTATGTAAAGTTCTACATAACATAGCCTTGCCATAACATTGGTCTGTTATGCGACAGAATCGGTCCCTATATGCTATTATAACACAAAAATGTGTTTGTTGGTTTAAGTAATACTTTTATATCATTTTGTTTTATTTTGGCGGCATTATTTTACTAGATTTATAATAAATTTTGGAGAAAAAGACAGAGTGCACCACCCATACTTTACTTGCACCAATTGCAGCGTGAGAAATGGAGATAAAATGTCATAGTAATATTGTAAATAATCGAATATTTTGACAATACCTTCTGAACCCATCATTTAATGATGTTGTTTTCAATAAATAATTAATATTATACAAAATAAATCAGCTGTTGATATTACGAAGTGTGACGAGATAATTGCGAAACGCTAAAGTTATGTAGTCGTCTAGACAATGTCTTTGTATTTTATTTAATGGTAAAGAAGCTAGTGATATGATTTATTCATTCTGGTTTTAGACTCTATGAAATTACAACAGAAATTAATTTAATATTACAACAAATTCTTTAGAAGTTCCTGAAGACATTCAAATTTTCCGACCAAGACCATAAAGTTAGTAACATTTTGAACCTTGGCTATATACTGATAAATATGCATCTACTACCGTTATATAAAACTCAATTTACACCATGAAGAAAATTAAGTTTACATGTAAAACCATGTAAAACCTATCAGATTTATTCTATGCTTATTTTAGCGACAAATTTTTGCCAAATGATAACATTGTAACATTTTGATAAAACGATATAACAATCCGCCTTTTTCAAAGAAACTTTTCAATATCGTTCAGGACTTCTAAGGAATAAAGGAAAACTCCACTGCTCTTGAATTTCCTATCATAAAATTGAAATATTAAAAATTATATAAATAAATTGATTAATTTGAAATGGCGCTAGCTCTATGCAATAAGAAACAAGTACTTATCCATATATGTGCCTTTTAATTTATAAAAGCCTAGTAAATATTTAGAAAATAATCAATATACAGTATTTTTTGCTAATTTATGTGTTGCGAACTTACAATAATGTGTAGATTGAATTTTTTTGTAATTGAATGGTGAAAGTACTGTTATTTCTAACTTAAATATTTTGTAACAGATAAAATCTGTTTCAATATTGTACATAGTTTTTATACACTATATATACGTTGTCACTTCGAAATGTTATTAATTATTTATGAAGATCAAATAATATAGTTAACATATTATATGATCTAAGATTTAAAATAATTTTATTTATAGAAGATATTTTACCTGCATAAGTGTATTGTTGTTGTGTTTAAATATTACTAAAATATTATTAGTTTATTAATTTTATATGGATGTTACAATGGTTGATGCTTTTTAGTAGGTACTTATTGAATTTATTGAATAATATTATTTATATGGTGAAAATGTGTGTATTTTAAAAGGACAACGATTTCAAAACCCGTTAATTCCGCAAAATTTATTGAAAGAAAAGACATGTTCAGCTTACACTATAAAAAGTGTAAATTATTGGTAAGCTGTAACTTTTCCATCTTAAATGTTTTAACATATATTGGCGGCTATGAAATGTTCGTATTCTATAATAGCTAAAATTTTCAAATTTGCTATTATATTTAGATTAAGATATCAAAAAAGTCAGTATGTAGCAATTTGTATTGTAAGAAACACTATTGAATATATTTTTATAGAAACTCCAAAGCATTAAGGCTACATGCATATATTTTAATATAGATAATATAACTTATTATTGTTATACTAAATTGTACCAGAATCATGTGAATATGAAATTATTTACAAAATTTTGAAATACAAGATTTATTATAGTAATTAGTGTAAATAAAATCAACAATATAAATTAATTATGAATAGGATAATTATTAAAAAGACACATCTTAGTGTTTTGATCTTTTGTTGGCATTAGAGTCATCTCGTGCGATATTTTGGATTCGAGTTTGGTTTCTTATAGGTTTTGCATTATTGCAAAATTATAATTACTATACAAATAATGATTCAGTTTTATATGTTTATTAACATTTATCTAGATAAAATGAATTTTTATTAGTTTTGCTGGAGTATATTATATATTGTTATACCAAGCTATCAGAACAAAATTAATTTATTTTATAAATTTGAACCTAAAACACGAAAAATATAAGACTATAATAGCCTATATCCAATAAAAAGTTTCGTATTATTTGCATTATTGCCTGAATTAACTTACGATATAAAGAAGAGAATATTTTACAACGGTCTCCTTGTATTTATGAATATGTTATAAATAAATTATTAGAGAAAATATATAGTTATGTATGTTCTGTTTATATACCTGCATATTTGTAATGAATATTTTGTATACATTGTAATATAAATAAAAAAGTTATATATACGTCGTGTTATTATTTCTGCTTTATTAATTTCCCATAGGGTAGTTATAGTAATGGGCCGAAAATCGAAAATGAAAATTTTTGCATTTCTCGACGTTTTGAAAGTTTCTGAACATTTTGGCATACCTCAGAAAAGATGGATGTGTGTGTGTGTACTGGTCAAGATTTGACCTGGGCTTTTTCTTATATTAGTAATCCACACCATATACTTATTTGTCCCAATTTTCTCTGAGTGTTATTAAATTAGTTAAAAAATAAATACTTTTGTTAAAGCTGTTAATATAAACAAAATAATTTGATGCTTTCAAATCTGTTGATTATACAAACAAATAGCATACTAACAAGAATATTCATTTTTCATTAAAATTATTAAGGCCAAAACAATTATTATTTTTTAAATATATCTTGGGATTTCGGACGGTTTGAAGATGATCAATTAAAAACAAACTCAATTCATTTAGACATATAAAATTTGACGTTAATAAATCATGACTGTGAGTAAATTTTTATCCCAGCAGAGTATATAGTTATATAGAAAAAAATGGGTTTGATTTTATTGAAATATATCAAACAGTTTTGATTTTGCAAATATTCAAATGCGTTTGAAAACCATTCGCTAGAGTCTACCTATTTAGTAGCTCCATCTTACATTTAAATTACACCCTCACGGTCCACTTTTAATTTATTTGATTTATTCAGTACAAAGGAATTATTTGTATATTATTCAGGTGTATAAATAAGAGCCATTATATGGATCTATGATACATAACCTAATATATGAATACAGTAGAATCTCGATATTAACCGGACTAATTGTTTGTCAATGGGCATTCGGATAATCGAAAATCCGGATAACCGAATATATAAAGAATAAGTGTATTTATTAAAAATTAACAAATACATACATAGATATCAACGGAAATCAATGTTAATTAAGGAATTATTACTTTCTTATGTATGTACATATATATTTTCTTAAATTACATTACATAGAAATAAATACTAAACTGCAGCATTAATCATGCAAAAATTCGATTCGCAGGTACGTATGTACATACTTATAAATTTGTTGCGGTTAGTAATCCGGATAATCGCGAATCTGTATAACTGACGTCCGGATAAACGAGTTCTACTGTATATTAAATGGCACAGAGATCACTGATATAACTAGTTGGTATTGGTATTTTGCCTTGAGGCAAGTTACATGAACTTCCCGATATGTGTAAACAATCGACTTAATAAAAAATAATTTATGAGTGATTAAAAGTATTCCGAGTGGATTTATTACACATATTTGAAAACGAACGAACACGTTAACTTGGAGAAATTTCTAAAAGCAAATTTTCAAAAATCAATAATTTTTATAATTGAACCAGTTTCCATAGGACTTTAATGGTTTATTATGTTCATTAAGACCAAGTATTCTATCGTTATACCAAGTAAATCGTCTAATTTTAATTTTAACAAACGTCAAAAAAAATTAATCATTTTCTCAAACTTTGATAAATTTTTAAAATTAAAATACTTGTCGTAAGGCTGCAATATTTCAGTAAGTTCTATAAGACCATGATATGTATCTCAAAAAAAAAGTTCCATAAAAATCGGCTTCAATTTTTTTCAACAGTTAATTACAAGGAAACGGCTCGGTAGATTTTCACCTAAAACTAATCAGTATCAATCCCAACTAATATGTTTCGAATAGTTCGGTAGTTTGAGGTTAAATGTGGACAAAAAGTTTAACAATTTTTTGAAATTACAA